CAGCTGGACTGAGAATTTCAGCTGCTGGTCTCCTGCTGGCGCCCAGAGTCAGAACCGAACCAAGAGAGGCTTCGTTTCAGTTTTATGCTCCTAAAATCTGGATCGGTCTTCCTGAAGAGGTGAAACATGCCTCAGCTCTGAATGTTTAAATACAAGCTGGAAATATGAGTTTAACTGAAAAATTTTGATGCTGCACCCTTCGCTTTTACTTGATCTAATCTATTTTGTTGATTAATACTCTTTCTTTGTTTTCCACTTTTAAACTTTTAAAATTTTCCCTCCCTGGGCTGCCACCTTATCGTGGTGGAGTGGTTTGAGTGTCCCAGTGATCCTAGGAGCTATGTTGGAGGTCCTAGGAGCCCAAAAGACCCCTAATGATGAGTGACACCAATGGGCCAAGTGAAGCCTCGCCCGGACGTGGGTCACCGAGGCCCCACTCTGGAGCCAGGCCCAGAGGTGGGGCACGTTGGCGAGCGCCTGGTGGCCGTGCTTTAGCCCATGGAGCCTGGCCGGGCTTACCCCGAAGAGGCCACATGGACCCCCTCTCCATTGGGTTCACCACCCATAGGAGGGGCGAAAGGGGTCGGGTGTGATGCGGAGCGGGTGGCAGCCAGAGTCAGGGACCATGGCGAACCAATCCCCGGCTGCAGAAGCTGGCTCTAGGGATGTGGAATTTCACCTCTCTGGTGGGGAAGGAGCCTGAGTTGGTGTGCGAGGCGGAGAGATTCCGGCTGGACATAGTTGGACTCACCTCGACACACAGCTCTGGCTCTGGAACAAGCCTTCTTGAGAAGGGGTTGGACGCTCTACTACTCTGGAGTTGCCCGCGGTGAGAGGCACCGAGTAGGAGTGGGCATACTCGTTGCCCCCCATCTCGGTGCCTGTACGTTGGGGTTTACCCCGGTGAACGAGAGGGTAGCCTCCCTTCGCCTTCGGGTGGGGAGACGGGTGCTGACTGCTTTCGCGCCTAACAGCAGTGCAGAGTACCCACACTTTTGGGAGTCCTTGGAGGGGGTGCTAGAGGGTGCCCCCCCTGCGGACTCCCTTGTTTTGCTGGGGGACTTCAACGCTCACGTGGGCAATGGCAGTGAGACCTGGAGGGGCGTGGTTGGAAGGAATGGCCCCCCAGCTTGAGCCCGAGTGGTGTTTTGGACTTCTGTGTTCGGCACGGATTGTCCATAACGAACACCATGTTCAAGCATAAGAGTGTTCATATTTGCTCTTGGCACCAGGACACTGTAGGCCGCAATTCAATGTTCGACTTTGTTGTCGTTTCGGGTGACCTGCGCCCGCATGTTTTGGACACTCGGGTGAAGAAGGGGGCGGAGCTTTAACTCCCACCTCCAGGAGAGCTGGGGGCTTGTCGCGGCTTTAACCCTCGAACCCGGATGCCGTCAGACTGAAGAAGGAGTCCTATCGGGCCTTTTTGGCCTGTGGGACTCCAGAGGCAGCCGATGGGTATCGGCAGTCCAAGCGACATGCAGCTCGGGTAGCTGCCAAGGCAAAAATTTGGGCGTGGGAGGAGTTTGGGGGTCCATGGAAAAAGACTTCCATATGGCTTCGAGGCGATTCTGGTCAACCATCCTGGTCCACTATCCGGCGTCTCAGGGGGAGGAAGCAGTGCTCCACCAACACCATTTACAGTGGGGGTGGTGTGCTGTTGACCTCAACTCGTGACGTTGTGGGTCGGTGGGCGGAGTACTTCGAAGACCTCCTCAATCCCACTGGTGCGTCCTCCATTGGAGGGGCAGAGCCTGAGGATCTGGTGTTGGGCTCTCCAATCTCCGGGGCTGAAGTCACCGAGGTAACCAAAAAGCTCTGTGGTGGCAAAGCTCCGGGGGTGGATGAGATTCGGCCGGAGTTCCTCAAGGCTCTGGATGTTGTGGGGCTGCATTGCTTAACGCGATTCTGCAACATCACATGGACATCAGGGGCAGTTCCTCTGGATTGGCAGACTAGGGTGGTGGTCCCCCTGTTTAAAAAGGGGGACCGAAGGGTGTGTTCCAACTATAGGGGGATCACGCTCTTAAGCTTCCCTGGGAAGGTCTATTCACCGGTTCTGGAGAGAAGGGTCCATCGGACAGTTGAACCTCAGATCCAGGAGGAACAGTGTGGTTTTTCATCCTGGCCTTGGAACGCTGGATCAGCTCTATACCCTCAGCGGGGTCCTGGAGGGTGCATGGGAGTTCGCTCCACCAGTCCACGTGTTTTGTGGACTTGGAGAAGGTGTTCGACCTTGTCCCTTGGGGTATCCTGTGGGGGTTGCTCCTGGAGTATGGGGTACCAGGCCCTTTGTCACGGGTTGTTTGGTCCATGTACAACCGGAGTAAAAGCTTGGTTCGCATTGCTGGTAGTAAGTCGGATCCGTTTCCGGTGAGAATTGGACTCCGCCAAGGTTGCCCTATGTCTCCAGTTCTGTTCATAACTTTTATGGACAGGATTTATAGGCGCAGCTGATGTGTTGAAGGTGTCAGAGATCGCATCTCTGCTTTTTGCAGATGATGTGGTTCTGTTGGCTTCATCAAGTTGTGACCTGATGAGTGCCTTCTCCGGGTCAGGGGGGACGTCCTTCCCCAAGTGGAGGAGTTGAAGTACCTTGGGGTCTTGTTTGTGAATGGGGTTAGGGAGCGTGAGATCGATAGGCGGAGCGGTGTGGCGTCTTCAGTAATGCGGGCGCTGTAACGGTCGTGATGAAGAGAGAGCTGAGCTTAAAGGTGAAGCTCTCGATTTATCTACGTTCCCACCCTCATCTATGGTCACGAACTTTGGGTGGTGACTGAAAGCGGACGAAATGAGTTTCCTCAGCTGGGTAGCTGGGCTCTCCCTTAGAGATAGGGTGATAAGCTTGGCCATCCGGGAGGGCCTCAGAGTAGAGCCGCTGCTCCTCCATGTTGAGAGGAGCCAGTTGAGGTGGCTCGGGCATCTGATTAGGATGCCTCCTGGTCGCCTCCCTGGTGAGGTGTTCCGGGCACGTCCCACCGGGAGATGGCCCAGAGGAAGACCCAGGACACACTGGAGGGACTGTGTCTCGGCTGGCCTCGGAATGCCTCGGGATCCCCCCGGAGGAGCTGGCAGAAGTGGCAGGGGAGAGGGAAGTCTTGGTACCCCTGCTTTGGCTGCTGCCCCCGTGTCCCGACCCCGGATAAGCGGTGGAAAATGGATGGATGGATGAACTTTGAATTGTCTTCTACAGGAAACGTGCAGTACAATTAACTTGCTTTGATAGCTCATATGGTTAATTACATGAGCAGGTCACAGTCCTGACTTCAGGGTCTGAACACCAGTTGATGGTCTACCGAACAGTCATTTGTGAATTTCATATCAGGCATTCAAACATGTGCGCTGTCTGGGATACTGGAATATTTAGAGATTTACACCTAAATCCTTTACCAGGAACTGTACAGGATGGTGAACGGGGTTCTTGGAGACCATCTGCATAGGTGGGCATCAGGTACAGAATCTACCAAGGGGATGCTCTGTCACCTCTGTTGTGCTGCATGAACCTGAACTCCCTCAGCCGCAGCCTTCCAACCAGTGGCTGTGACAGGGTTAGGATTAAGGGTAAGGGTCAGGGTTCGGTTGGGTTAGAGTTAGGGGTTAGAGTTAGGAATAGGGTTAGTGGTTAGGTTAGGGATAGAGAACTGAGTCTTTCTCCCGAAGGAGTAGGTGTTTATAAAAGCCATCAATCTGGAGCCCCTGTACCCTTGGTCCCACTGGGGTCGACGGTCGCGCTTGCACCTCCGGCCACAGCACATCTCCGTTCACCCATCAGCCATCTCCAGGTTTTTTAATATAATTTTAATGTATTTTCAATGTCTTTTTTTAAACTAACAAATCAATTCACAAAACTAAAGGAGGGTTTCCTAATTTCCACACTGTGGGATCAATAAAGTATTCTACTCTGCTATATTCTATTTTATTTTAATTGGAAACAATAGGTAAACATAAAATATTTTTTTTGTTAAACTTTTTTTTGTAGTTTCATGATTTTTTTTATGTAAACGTTTTAATTCTTATTAAATAAAATAAAATAAAATGATAATAATTAGATTAACTATAACGAGAGGCAGGTAAGAGATGTTTTCTCTTACCTGTCAGAGCACAACTGAAAGAGAGCTTCTTTGCAGCTTTTCTTTTAGCTTTCTATTCAGAGTCAAATGTATTCTTAAGGTTTTTTTAAGGTTTTATAGAAAAAATATCTTTAAACTTTTACGGTATGATTTTAAATATATTACCCCCCAAAATTAATAAAATTTATTACAAAAATTTCTAACTGAAGGTGTGTTTTGACCAATGAAATTGTTTTAGGTTTAGCCGCTGTTTTAGACTTTTAGACTTCTTAGGTTAGGGTTAGGGGTGTTGTTAGGGTAAGGGTTAAAATGGTGAAATGGGATTAGGGTTAGATATTCAGTTTAGGTTAAAAACTTGGGTTTGGATTGGGACTGAAATAAAGACTGGGGTTAGGGTTAGAACAGAGACTAGGTTAAGGGTCAATGCTGGGGTTAGGGTAATCAGGCTTAGGCTTATAATTAAAATTAGTGTGGAAGGTTAGGGTTAGAGTAAAGGACGGTGTTAGGGTTCCAATAAACTTCATCCATTTATGTTGATACATATTCCAGTTATATGTGGTGAGCATCAGAAATTCTGTTAGGTTTGGGACATTTTCAGGATTAATGGATGGGAAAAAAAGGTTATTTCTCCACTTTTTGAATAGATTAAAAATCATTCAATTCTGACCTTGCGAGAAATATTCAGCCATGAATATCTTTAGTTTTTCTATTTATTTTTATTCTCTAAAATATAACTGCATGCAGGACTGGCCAGCTGGGGAGTGGGGGTGTACCTGGTATCCCACCCCCCATGGACCCAATGTTGTTGAGCAGGTACAGACAATGGCTGTATGTACAGGTGATGGCATGAATTGAGAATGTTGACTCAATGTGTTCCACTCCAGGCTGGAAAGGAAAACAGCTGTTAATGTTTCTGAAAGTCACATTGATTTAAGGGGAGATCTTTGACTTTAAGGAGACTCCTGAAAGCTTAATCCGACAGCACAGATTGTAAATGAGGGCTGGTCTGATGGTCTGATCTCTGAGGCCATAGATGAGTGCACTCAGACACCTGGGAAGCATGATTAAGGACACATATAAGAAATTCTGTATGCGCAGGAGCACACCCAGCACAACAAGCCTTGAGATGGCATACAGCAGTGGGTTGTGCAGAGTTGAAGAGATGCTGAGGCCCAGCTGCAGGAGATGCATCAGCAGAGTGTTACGAGCCTTAAGAACTGAAGCTTTGTCCGAGGAGGCCGACCTGGCTGCTAGAATTACAACAACATAGGTGGAGCTGATGGCTAGAGCAGCAGAAATAAACAGAAAATAAGTGTAAGATCTGTCGTAGTCATAATAAAGGGGTGTGAGAAACATGGCAACAGTGTTACAGAAAGTGTTCATCTGCAGAGTTTCCAGCTCCTCAAAGGGATATTCTAGCAGTAAAATCACTCGAATGAGGACATTTAGTAAGCAGATGGCCCAAACCAGCATAACGGCCACTGCTGTGTTTCTGATGGTGACGATGGCAGCGTGCCTCAGAGGGTAGCACACTGCCACACATCTCTCCAAAGACATCACCACTAACACCAGAGGAGAGATTTCATTGGCCAGATTAGCAAGCATGTAGAGAACGCCACACAGAGGATATGACATGAAAACCCTGCCGACAGACAATAAGTACAGTAACTGACTCACTACAAGCTGAACAGTATCTGCAAACAGGAGATTATACAGGAGAACGTAGCGGCAGGTTTCCCTGAACACCGGTTTGCTCCTCAGAGTGTACAACATGGTCCCATTAATGAAGAGGAACACACAGCATGGGGTTGTGGTCAGAGTGGTGTACATCACTCTCTCTAAAAACACCAGTCCAACAGCTGTGCTGTTCTGAGGCTGAGAAGCAGTGGACATCACACAGGAAACATCAAGCAGTTCAGAAATGCAGACCTGTGAATTGTTCTGGAGCACAAAACCACCACAGTTATGTTAAAGCCATAATTTCCTGTATACTGAATGTGTCAGCAGGCTGCTCTGGTTTATCTGCTGTCACATTTCTGTCACAGATAATAAATTGAGGGTGAAAACAGATTAGTAACAGGAAATGTAATACTTTTATTATAAATAAATGGATGGACTACATAATACCAGTGCTGGTAAATAGTAATCTAAGTGTTAAAGTTAGACCTGAAGATAAATCACACATAAAATGTTAAGTGTAAATATAAATAAATACTCAATAATAAATAAAACACCAAAGCACAGCAGATTCAATTTAGATGCAGTATGTCTTTAAATATGCAAAGAGCTCAGAATGGCTGTTCACCTGTGAGAAGGCTGTCAGGTCAGCGGCTATGTGCAGAACTGGTCTGTGTGCTCAGCCCGAACCAGCCAGTCATTTATGAGCTCTGACTCATGGTAACACAACCACCTCCCTGGAACCGATTCCCACAGTGTTTTTCTACTTCCTCTTACAGAGCTTTGCATTGTTCAGGGTTGTCATGCTCATGTTTGCTGTTATTGAGCCTCAGTCTGTCTGTCCAGAGCGGGACGTATCCATATTAGCCTCCTCTTTACTGTACCATGCTGGCTTCAAGCTGTCCTGATGGTTCCTCTTAGTGGTTTATCCCCCCAGGTTACCAGTCTGTATACAGCTAAAGCTGCATTTCTTGTTGTCCAGTAAATTAATATTTTTCCCAGAGTCCCCGCTCCCTGTTCCTCCTTGGTCCTACATATTGGATCCCTCCCTACAAACCAAAATAACTGTCACTGGGTGAGAGGGAAGGCCGACCCGACCCAAGTTAGATGATGTGGGGTCCAAACCCTGACCCAGACACACCATTTATGAATTCATACAAGGTTTTTTATGGACTTAACAGTGGAAATATGCGCAGATGTCTGTGGGAAGAGAAGTGGATCCTAAAATGTTTGAATGTTCATTTAAACTGAGATGCAAAGTTAAATGACGAAGGACCCATAAAGTGAATAAAACACCCCAGAAACAATCACAGAGAAGAAACCTTCTCACTGGTGTTTTCATCGACCCATGAAAGGTGCTCCAAAACTTGGAGGAGGGTTCATCAATTTGTATTCTGAGTTGAATCTGAGTACAACATATTTAGTCTTTTTCTTTAAATTATTAATTGGATCTTTTTGAGTTTATAAACTTTTTTACTTTAAAGATCACGTTTCCTCTGTTTCTCGATCCTGTCGCTTCGCATTACTAAACATAAGAAAGATCCGGCCGTACCTAAAACAACATGCTACCCACCTCCTGGTGCAGTCTATGGTCATCTCCCGCCTTGACTATTGCTACGCACTCCTGACCGGTCTCCCAGCCTGTACAGTAAAACCTTTACAAATGATCCAGAACGCGGCGGCGCGTCTCGTCTTCAATCAGCCCAAAAAATCTCACGTCACCCCTCTGTTCATTGAACTCCAATGGTTACCTCTGGCTGCCCGTATCAAATTCAAGTCCCTGATGCTAGCCTACAAAGTGCTTAAGGGTACGGCTCCCATCTACTCGAATCCTCTTGCAAAGGCTTATGTCACAACTCGATCACTCCGGTCATCAATGGATTGTCGTCAAGCAGTGCCTTCAACACGCTTAAGACAATCCAGACTGTTTGCATGTATCATTCCAAGATGGTGGAATGACCTACCAAGCGCCACAAGAACAGCAGAGTCCCTGTCTGTCTTCAAGAAACTCTTGAAGACCCACCTTTTCAAAGAGCATCTCCTATCCTAATCTTAACCCGTTCCTCTACCCCCCCACAACTCCTTCTGTGGTCCCCTCTACCTCTTTCTCTATCTCACCACTGACTCTGATCAGTGTTTCTCCTCTATATAGCTTATTGTCATAGTGATGAGAAATGTAATATTGTGTCTACTCTGTAAGTCGCTTTGGATAAACGCGTCTGCCAAATGCATAAACATAAACAAACATAAACATAAAAATAAACATTTCTGTTATTTGCGATATGAGAGTAACAGCTATGCCATTTAAAAAATATAATAATGTTGCTGGGCCCGATCATCCAGTCACATGGTTTCTCCTATCATTGCTATGCAGACAACACCCAACTCTATCTGTCCTTTCCTCCGGACGACCTCCCATTACCAATGAGAATCTCATGCTGTCTTTCTGACGTATCTGCATGGATGAAAGATCACAACCTCCAATAAAATCCCGCCAAAACTGAACTGCTCATCATCCCAGCCAGGCAAACTATTCACCACACATTGGCATCAGGTTAGACTCACTATCTGTGGCACCCACCAAGACTCAAAGAAACATGGGCGTCATGATTGATTATCAGCTGACCTTCATGGATCATGTTGCCTCTGTTGCTCGATCGTTCTGCTTCTCTCTCTTCAACATCAGATTAGGCCATATCTAACCTAACGTGCAACAGAGCTCTTGGTCACGTCCCGCCTTCATTACTGCAATGCCCTCCTAACAGGCCTTCCAGCCTGTGTTTTGAGACTGCTACAGATCATCCAAAATGCTGTAGCCCATTTGGTTTTCAACCAGTTAAAGACAGTACATGTCACATCCCTGTTCACTGAACTCCATTGGCTTCCCTTAGCTGCTCACATCAAATTTAAATCAGTGATTCTGGCCAGCAGAGTGTTTGACGGATCTGCGCCAATCTACCTCAACACCCTCTTAAAGCCCTATGTCACCACTCCCGAACTCCCTTCTTCCAAGGAGCGCCAACTAACACAGCCAAGGTCAATCTAGAGTCTAGATTCTAGACTCTTCTCATCTGTGGTTCCACGGTGGTTGTTGAAACCTTACAAGCATGATCAAAGCATCAGAATATCTTTCCTCCTACAAGAAATCATTGAAGACCCAGCTCTTCCCAGAGTATCTTGTCCTGAAAGCTCTAAATGCACTTATTTGCTAATAGCATTAAGCATCAATGGCTGGTACTTGTGGAATCTATGTTCTAGTTGAATGTTAAATCCTTAATGTTAAATCCTCTTCTTGCATAGTACACTCAAGGTAAGGTGTAGCAAAGTGTGTAACTGGTGATATAGTTCAATGTTAAACCCTCTTTTTGTAAGTCGCTTTGGATAAAAAGCGTGTTCTAAATGCAAATGTAAATATCATGTAAACGTAAATGGTGTTGGTGCTTATCATTATTAATATAATTAACAGCAGTGCAGAGTACCCACCCTTTTTGGAGTCCTTGGAGGGGGTGCTGGAGGGTGCCCTCCCTGGGGACTCCCTTGTTCTGCTTGGGGTCTTCAATTTTCACGTGGACAATGACAGTGAGACCTGGAGGGGCACGGTTAGGAGGAATTTTGTTGTTGGACTTCTGTGCTCAGCACAGATTGTCCATAACAAACACCATGTTCAAGCATAAGAGTGTTCATATGTGCTCCTGGCACCCAGACACTCTAGGCTGTAGTTCAATTATCCACTTTGTGTAATGAACGTGATAAGGACCCAAAAGCAACCAGAGGCGTACGGTCAGTTTAACAAGGTTTATTGACAGACAGGGGCTCGGCAGAGGCGTGGTCAGAACAGTCCAGGTTCAGTAACGGGTGGTCCAGGCAGCGCAGATAATCCAACTCGTAGTGAGGGGCTGGTCGAGGGTCAGAGCCAGAGGAGCAATCCAGGGGAGCAGGCGGGAGCACGTAGTCAGGCAGGCGAGGTCGGAACACGGGAAGGCAGGCAAGATCCAGAGACTGGCGGAGCAGATCTCAGGCAGGCAGACTAAACAGACAGGGATCAGGCAAGCTCGGGAGTCGGAGTCAGACGGGTCGTGATCAGGCAGACAGAATAAGGATATAACGCTGGAAGTACTCACACAAAGGCTCGATACGTTCTCGCATTAAATGGAGGTGGGAACAGGTGAAGGTGATGAGCGCTGATTGCGGGGTGAGTAGCTGAGCAGGTGTGCAGATAGGGGTAGAGCCAGCTCCAGAGCCGGGAAGAGATGCAATAAAAAACAGGCAGAGATATTAACTACCACTTTGTAATACTTCTGTTATACTTTGATTAAACTTTGTTGGGATTTTTTTGCCAGTTGCCTTTTCCTCCATTTCAGACGGTGAAAATTAAAGATGTATTTTCATGTGTGGCAGCAGCAAAAAGCACATCAGGTGCACACATATGACAGGTATCCACCATGTTGGAGAGCAAACCAAATGCTCAGCTCTGTGACTACTACTGTCAGTCACCCGGAGCTTTGGAACTTTGTGGCTCATTTATGACCCACAACAGAAAGATTAAACCTGCAGAAAGCCAAACGCTCAGCCACTGATATTGACTTTCTGCCGACAGCAGAGATGATTCACCAGGACTGGTCTGATGGTCTGATCTCGCAGTCCATAGACCAGAGAGCTCAGACATCTGGGAAATATTATGAAACACACATAGAACACATTCTGAACCCACAGTAACGCCGTCCTGGTGGAGACTCTAGACAGAGCAGTGAGCAGTGGGAGGACAGGCTGAGGCCCAGCTGCACCAGGTGAAGCAGCAGTGTGGTTCGAGCCCTGTGGGCCAAAGCTTTGTCTGTGGAGGCTGACCTGGCTGCCATTATGACGCCGATGTAGGACGAAACAGCTGCCAGGGCGGCGCTCACAAACAGGACACAGGTGTAGGCTTTGTCATAGCCGTCGGCCAGAGAGCCGAGCACCAGCGCAATGTTGGAGCAGAGATCCCTCACCTGCAAACGCTCCAGTTCCTCAAAGGGAAAGCTCAGAAACAGCAGGACTCTGGTGAGGTTGCTCAGCGAGCTGACAGCCCAGATGGCAAGGATGGCGGCCGTGGTGCTCCTGACGGTGATGATGGTGGCGTGCCTCAGTGGCCAGCACACAGCCACATACCTCTCCAGAGGCATCAGCACCAGCGTGAGCGGGGAGATGCCTGCGGTGAGTTGGGCCAGCATGTTGAGGACCGTGCACAGGGAATAGGCCAACCTCACCCTGCACACTGACAGAAGGAACAGCAGCTGGCTCTGGGCCAGCTGCAGCGTGTCGGCCAGCAGGAGGTTGTACAGCAGTATGTAGCGGCAGGTGTCCCGAAACACCAGCTTGCTCCTCAAAACGAACAGCATTGTCCCATTAATGACCAGAAACACAAAAGATGGAACTGTGGATACAGTGGAGATGATAATGGTCCTCAGTAGCCCCTGGTCAGCAAAGCCACCAGTCATGTTGAAGTTGGACTCATTAGACATGTCTGTGAAGGATGAAGTGTGTGTTCCCAGCTTGGAGCAAGACTCCAATCTGAGTTTTAGACATGCAGCTCTGCTTGGTTTGATAGTTTTCAAGGAAAAGTGGGAACGCCGTCCTCTCATCTTGATCACATGACCCATCAGGGCCAACAAGGAGGGCTGAGAAGTGATGCTGTCTTCCTTCCAATGAAGAGATACAGATGAGGGCTGAAATTTCATTACTCCACTGGTTTCACTGTTATTCTTAAGAATAGAATTACATAGTTTTGGTATAAAGTTTTGAAATCCTCCCTGTTGATCGACTAACAGTAAACGACTGCACATGCAAAGTTTAAATGCAAAGAATCCAGATTATTATATTATGATATATATTGTTATATAAGATTTTATAATATGTAGAGATATATTAATAAATGATCAAATATAATATAATCATATTTTATATGATATAATAATTATAATATAATTTTACAATTATTAATATAACTATCAAATATTAAACATGTTTATATTATATCCATCCATCCATCCATTTTCCACCACTCATCCGGGGTCGGGTTGCGGGGTTAGCAGCTGAAGCAGGGAAACCCAGACTTCCCTCTCCCCTTCCACTTCTGCCAGCTCCTCCGGAGGGATTCTGAGGCGTTCCCAGGCCAGCCGAGACACATAGTCCCTCCAGCGTGTCCTGGGTTCGTGACCATAGATGAGGGTGGGAATGTAAATCGACCGATAAATCGAGAGCTTTGCCTTTAAGCTAAGCTCTCTCTTCATCATGATGCCGAACCTATCCACCTATTGATTTCACGCTCCCTACCCCCATTCGCAAACAAGACCCCGAGGTTTTTGAACTCCTCCATTCGGGGAAGGACGTCCCCCCTGACCCAGAGAAGGGTCCTGGCAATGATCCTCACCCCAGCCGCTTTGCACTCGGCTTCAAACTGCTCCAGCGAGAGCTGTAGGTCACGACTTGATGAAGCCAACAGGACCACATCGTCTGCAAAGAGCAGAGAAGTAATCCTAAGGCCCCCAAGAAGGACACCCTCGACACCTCGGCTGCGCCTAGAAGTTCTGTGCATAAAAGTTCTGAACAGAACCGGAGACATAGGGCAACCTTGGCGGAGTACAACTCTCACCGGAAACGGATCCGACTTACTACCGGCAATGTGAACCAAGCTCTGACTCCGGTTCTGTCAGGCCGGCAGATCTCAGTGAGAACTCAGTCGCGGAACTTTGTCAAAATCCAAAATTTATCACAACAAAAAACACACTCAAAAGAGTGGACACAGAGTAGAAACTCAAAGTCGCTCGAGAACGAGGCTGGGGAAAGTAGCAAATCAAAAGCTGAACAAATTGTCAAATCGAAATCACTCACGAATGAGGACAAGGGCGAGAAACAAAGTAACAAAGCAATACTCACTAAGAATGAACGTCTAGGAGAAAAAACACGAAGGGCACTCAATGAAGGCAAAAACTCAGGAGGGCTCTATGGCAGGGTACGGGATCCAGGAGGCAAGGCAAGGTTTTCTATTGCAAGGGTAAACTATGGTTCGAGAGAAGGCACTGTGGTCAAGGGACGCAACACACTGGCACGGGACAAGGGTAGACGAGGACAATTTAAACACATGAGGGAAGGGAACCCCAGGTATACACAATGGGGGATCAGGGAGACGATTAGACTGATGACACAACAGGAAGTGCAAGTGACCTGAAACGAGGGTTATTCTTCAAAATAAAACAGTAAATGACAAGACTACAATAAGACGAGACAAAAAACCCCCAGCCAGGAACACCACCGTGACAGAACCCCCCCCCTCAAGGGCCGGCTCCTGACGGCCCAGGCGCCTCAGGGTGGGCCCTGAAGAAATCCTTGATGAGGGAGCAGTCCAGGATATGCTGGGAGGGCACCCAGAGCCTCTCTTCCGGGCCGTACCCCTCCCAGTCGACGAGAAACTGCTGCCCCCAGCCCCTGCGACGCACAGCCAGGAGTCTTTTAACTTTGTAGACGGGGCCCCCGCCTACAATCCCCGGTGGTGGGGGGGAAGGCGTCAGGGGGACCAAGGGGCTTTCCTTGGTCGGCTTGATGTGGCTTACGTGGAAGGTGGGGTGGATCTGGAGGGATCGGGGAAGGCGTAATCTTACAGCCGCCGGGTTGACGACCTTCATGATGGGGAAGGGTCCCACGAAGCGTGGGGCCAATTTGCGGGACTCTCCCCTTGGCTGTAAGTCTTTGGCAGAGAGCCATACCATTTGGCCGGGTCTGTATTCGGGTGCGGGTCTTCGCCGACGGTCGGCCGCTCTCTTGACCCGGTCCCCTTTTCAGGAGAGGACCAGTCTGGCTGCCGCCCAAATGCGGCGGCACCCGCGGGTCAGGTCATGGGTCAAGGGAACCATGATTTCACGTTATTGAACTGTCAACAAAGGGGGGCCATAACCATAAATGCACTTAAAAGGGGTGAAACCTGTGGCGGACGTAGGCAAGGTGTTGTGGGCGAACTATACCCAGACCAGGTGCTTTGACCATGTCGCCGGGTTCTGGGCCACCAGGCAGCGGAGGCTGGTTTCTAGTTGCTTATTCAGCCGCTCGGTCTGCCCATTAACCTCTGGGCGGTAACCCGACGTCAGGCTGGCTTTGGCGCCGATGAGGGCGCAGAACTCCCTCCAAAACCTGGAGACAAACTTTTGTCCCCGATCTGATACCACGTCATTCAGGAACCCATGTATTCGGAACACCTGAGTCATCAGGACCTCTGCCGTCTCCTTGGCAGAAGGCAGCTTGGGCAGGGCGATGAACCGGACCATCTTTGAGAAGCGGTCTACTACAGTGAGAACCACGGTGTTTCCCAGTGACGCTGGGAGACCCGTCACAAAGTCTACAGAGATGTCCGACCAGGGTCGGAAGGGAAGCGGAATCGGATCCGCGCCTCCTGGTCTCGCATGGCAGCGGCGATCTGGTTCAGCTCCGCTGAGTCCATCCTGGCCAGTGCGTACTGTCAGGCCGGCGGATCTCAGTGAGGACTTTGTCAAAATCCAAAATTTATTACAACAAAAAACACACTCAAAGGAAAGGACACAAAGTAGAAACTCAAAGTCGCTCGAGAACGAGGCTGGGAATAGTAGCAAATCAAAAGCTGAACAAATTGTCAAATCAAAATCACTCACGAATGAGGACAAGGGCAAAAAACAAAGTAACAAACCAACACTCACTAGGAATGAACGTCTAGGAGAGAAAACACAAAGGGCACTCAATGGAGGCAAAAACTCAGGAGGGCTCTATGGCAGGGAACGGGATCCAGGAGGCAAGGCAATGTTTTCTATGGCAAAGGTAATCTATGGTTTGAGAGAAAGCACTGTGGTCATGGGACGCAACACACTGGCACGGGACAAGGGTAGACGAGGACTATTTAAACACATGAGGGAAGGGAACCCCAGGTGTACAAAATGGGTGATTAGGGAAACGATTAGACTGATGACACAACAGGAAGTGCAAGTGACCTGAAACGAAATAAAAGTTATTCTTCAAAATAAAACAGGAGATGACGAGACTACAATAAGACAAAAAAAAACCCAGCCAGGAACACCACCGTGACAGGTTCTAAAGAGGCCGCACAGCCCATAACAAAGGGCCTGGTACCCCATTATCCCGGAGCACCCCCCCTCCCCCCACAGGGACACGGTCGAACGCCTTCTCCAAGTTCACAAAACACATGTGGAATGGTTGAGCGAACTCCCCTGCACCCTCCAGGACCCCTCTGAGGGTTATAGCGCTCGTCCAGCGTTCCACGGCCAGCCTGTTCCTCCTGAATCTGAGATTTGACTCAATAGACCTTCCCAGGGAGGCTTAAGAGCGTATCCCCCTGTAGTTGGAACACACCCTTCGGTCCCCCTTTTTAAACGGGGGGACCACCACCCCAGTCTGCCAATCCAGCGGAACTTCCCCTGATGTCCACGCGATGTTGCAGAGTCGCGTTAACCAATGCAGCCCCACAACATCCAGAGCCTTGAGGAACTCCGGCCGAATCTCGTCCACCCCCGGAGCCTTGCCACCACAGAGCTTTTTGGTTACCTCGGTGACTTCAGCCCCGGATATTGGAAAGCCCAACTCCAGATCCAAAGGCTATGCGCCTCCAATGGAGGACACGCCAGTGGGATGGAGGAGGACTTCGAAGTACTCCGCCCACCGACCCACAACCCACAACGTCCCCCCCTGAGATGCCGGATGGTGGACCGGAATGCTTGGTGGTGGTTGCCGAGGCAAAAAACTCGGCCGTGGGAGTAGTTTGCCGGATGGTGGACCGGTATGGAAGTCTTTTTCCATGGCCTCCCCAAACTACTCCCACGGCCGAGTTTTTTGCCTCGGCAACCACCACCAA